AGCAAGGCTGGCTGGGGAATTCTGGGAGTTAAAGTCCACACCTCTGAAAGCTGCCAAGGTTGAGAAACACTGCTCCAAAGGGTGGGCTGTGATTTCTCAAAAAGAAAAAAGGAGGCTATGTCCCCCCACCTTGGGGGGATACATCAGCACGCCAGTCAGTCTCCGTACAGATTTCATACCCATGTTGGGAAGCAAAAGTGTGAGGTTCCCTATTTACAAGAGCGAGTTTAGACATCCTCAGTGTGAAGCTACCCCATGTTCAAAAGCATGCTCTTGGCTTCATCGCACGCCTCGGCAGGAGCATTTCCTTGAATGCAACTTGACTCTCTTTTTGGTTCTCTCTCCAATAGGAGAGAAAGGTGGTTCAGTGAGAACCAAGTGCCTGGCTTGTCGTTGAGGCTGGGAACTTGAGTCTTTCGTGGCCTTGTTCCTAAGCAGAAGAGAAGCTCCAACTCCATTTCTTTTCTGCTGTAGGATCTTTCAGGCTTCCACTTGGTTCCTGCCCGCCCCCCCCCCCCCCCGCTCTGTTGACACAAAATGGCAGCATGAAGTTACCTCAGGATTTGGAGTGAGGTGTCTTCAATGTTTGGAAGGCCCCCATCTCTGTTCCTCTTATACATCTCATTCAGCTGCAACTGAATTCAGCTTCCAACTGTGGAAGTGACTGGAATTGGATTGTTTCCCACAAAGGATCAGGTTTGCTAGTTTGGTCAGAAGATCTTCTCTTAAATCTAAGTCTTGCACTGGAGGATGACTAGCATCTGGAATACAGAGCTCCCGAATGGCTTGTGCCTAGGATTGACATAGAATCATAGGGTTGGAAGGGACCTTGAAGGTCTTCTAGTCTAGTCTTCTAGCCTTTTAGTCTTCTAGTCCCCTGCCCAGTGCAGGAATCCTCATACCATCCCAGACAAATGGCTATCCAGTCTTTTCTTGAATACTTCCACTGATGGAGCACCCATAACTTCAGGAGGCAGGCTGCTCCATTGTTTACTGCAGTGTTGTCCGAACTTGGCCACTTTAAGATGAGTGGACTTCAGCTCCCAGAATTCTGGGAGCTGAAGT